GTGGAAATTAATGTAGACACAGATGTAGAGATTGATGTAGAGATTGATGTGGAAATAGGTAGCTTCCTAGGGGTGGGTTCCACTGCAAAGAGCAATTGTCTTTTTTGGGTTTTACCAGAGATTGGGTTTCTTTAAGGTTATGCTTAGAAATTTACCTTTAACAACTCTTTATATCAAATGAGCTATCTGGGTTATATGATGAACTTTGTAGATGAATTAAAATTACATTTTTTAACTTATGGACTACAATGTTCTACATGTACTGCAATAAAAATTTAATATTATAATCCATTGTCTGTGTATTTGTGAGTGTCCTTGCAGGTGTTCTTGTAGGGTCCGGAATCTTTCATTAGCCTTTCTTTTTGTATTCACTTTATTCACTGTATGAGCTTTAAAGAGATTTTACTTAGAATGCTAGATTCCACAGCAATGTAAGTGCATGCATCAAGAAAATGTTCACAAATGTATATGAACCTATGTCACCAACACTTCAGTTAAGACACACAGTATTTCTGTCATGCCTTTGCAATCTTTATACCAACCAGTATGAAAACTTGAAGTCATGTCTTTTTAAAAAGCAGTTCCTTTTGACATTGTATTGACCTTTGTGTCTCACTGATTGGATGTATCGTGTATGTGTGCACGCTAAGTTACTTCAGTCATGTCCGACTCTTTGCCACGCTATGGACTATAGCCCACCAGACTCCTCTGTCCATAGGATTCTCCAGGCAAGGATGCTGGAGTGGGGTGCTGTGTCCCCCTTCAGGGGATCTTCCTGAGCCAGGGATCAAACCTGCGGCTCCTGCATTGCAGGTGGCTTCTTTACCGCTGAGCCCCTGGGAAGCCTGGATGTATTGTGCCTATCCATAAAGTTTTCCACTTGCACTGCACCACACTTCTTGAGTCTCACTTCATCACTTACTCTTCATAATATGGAATGATAAACATGGATGATGAGGGATGGCCTGCAAGAGTCCCAGCAATGAGAACCAGGAGGGTCAGTGCCCTTAAACTTAAAATATGAGGGCATCTCCTCCAAGGGAACCTGTCCCTTCAAGAGAATGAAGAAGGATAAAGACCCAATCAAGGATGGAGCCAGAGAGGTTTTTGAGACCCGGGAGGACTCTCGAGGAGATGAGGAAGGTTCCAGATTCTTCTTTGTGAAGACCAGGGTTGGGAGGTGGCAGTAAGCTTTGCATACGCCATTCATCAGTCTGAAATGCTAAGTAAACTGTTGTTTATTCTTCAAATATCAACTGACATATCCTTTCTTCTGGGTAATTTATAATAATTCTAAGACTAGATTCTATGCTTTCATGGCACCATGTATCATTTTTGAAGCACTTATCATAGTCCTGATTTAGATTCTGTGTGCTCATTTGAATAATACTCATCTCCTCCACGGAGTCTAAGCTCTCTAAACAGGACCCATGGTTAAGAATTTTTCCCATTTTGTATTCACACTACCTGGGATAGTTCCTGGCACATAACAGATGTGCAATAGATATTTCTAGGTAGGAACTGAATTACCAAATGCATGAATGAGAAAACATTATGTGGGATCACACAGTTCTCTTTATTTTTGTGAATAAGTCTAACAGAAGGCCCATTGTAGGACAATTCCTAGAGACAACTGTAAGAAAGTGTATACAGTCAAGAGCCAAACTACAGGCTAATGGAGGGGACAGAGTTTCTAACTCAGGTACCTAAGATTGCATAGATGATAGAGTCTGTTGATTCGAGAGGAGGTAATAGAGATTATCTGAAGCAGAGACAATTTCCTGGGTTTCTTTGATTTGACAATTATCATACTCAGTTGAAAGTACCTAAACATTTACCAAAACTCACGTGTAAGTATTTAATCCACACACTGATCCTTATAATATTTACCAAGTTGATTCACATTTAACATTCACTCTTTTGGGCTTCCCTGGTGGTCCAGTGATTAAGACTCTGTGCTTCTACTGCAGAGTGCACACACTTGATCCCTGGTTAGGAAACTAAAATCCACCATGCCACTGAGCATAGACCAAAAAAAAAAAAAAATTCACTCTTTTACTATTTATTCTGAACTAGGAAACTGACTGACTCTTCCATGTAGAGAAAGGATGGAACTTCTTGGGTAAATTGAAATGTTCCTGGTCCCCATTCCATGACCTATTCTTACAAACTCCTTCATTCTTCATTTCTCTCCTCTCTTCTTTGCTTCCCTTCCTCCTCTTTAGTGCAGAGAATATCCATACCCTGCCTTGCCTATACTTTTCCACCCAGTTCTGTCTCTGAATATTGCCTCCCCGCAAGGGCTCTTTGAGGATGATTAGACAATTACTCAGAATCAAGGGCTTCGAGAGTTGTTAGAGTTGAGAACAGCCTTTTGTTTAGAGATATGTTGGCATTTGTTTGGATTTATGAGGAAACACTAATGTTTAAGCAAAGCCTGGAGAAACTGGCCTGCCTGTCTCCTTTTAAAACTAGCTGGGAGGAGATAGAAAGCAGAGAGCTTTTTTTTTAAACATAATTAGTGGACCTCTTAGGATTGTGCTCTAGGGACAAAGTCAGGACTTTATCTGAGGAGTGAAAGTCGCTCAGTCATGTCTGACTCTGCAACTCCACGGACTATACAGTCTGTGGAATTCTCCAGGCCAGAATACTGGAGTGGGTAGCCTTTTCCTTCTCCAGGGGATCTTCCCAACCGAGGGATCTAACACAGGTCTCCCGCATTGCAGGCGGATTCTTTACCAGCTGAGCGGCAGCAATTGCCATACTCAGATGGTGAGGCTCAAAGATGCCCTATCTGGGACACAGAGGGAGGCGCTGTTTCCAGTAGATGAAGAGGAATCTCAATTACAATTATCCTTTAATTTTTGCTGAATCTTTAGTTTTCTACTGCTGCAGACCAAATTATCACTAACTCTACTGGATTAAAACAATACAAATTTATTACCTCAGAGTTTCAGCAAGTCAGAAGTCTGAGCATGGTTTGGCTGGGTTCCCATCAAGGGCACACAAAGTTGAAATTCAGGTGTTGGGTGACTGTGTCCTAATCTCAGGACTAGGGAAATACGTGCTTGCAGGCTCCCTCAGGTTTTCAGCAGAAGTCATTTACTCTGCGGTTGTAGGAGTAACAACTCCTTGCTAGTTATTGCTGTGCTCAGTCATGTCTGACTCTTTGCAAGCTTATGGACTGTAGCCCACCAGGCTCCTCTGTCCATGGAGTTTTACAGGCAAGAATACTGCAGTGGGTTGCCATCTCCTACTGTCTTACTAGTGGTAGACCAAAAACCACTCTCAGTCCTCAGATGTGGCTTTCAGGTCTTTACTATGTAGCTCCATCCACAGACCTTCCATATTTGGAATTTCTGACTACTAGAAGGGTCCAGCCACTTTTAAGGATTCAGTCAATTAAATTAGGCCTACCATGATTATCTCCATTTTTTATCAACTTCAAGTCAACTGTTCATGGGGTTCTCTTCCAATATTCATTGGAAGGACTGATGCTGAAGCTGTAACTCCAATACTCTGGCCACCTGATGTGAAGAACTGACTCATTGGAAAAGACCCTGATGCTGGGAAAGATTGAAGGCAGGAGTAGAAGACAGAGGCTAAGATGTTGGATGGCATCACCAACTCAATGAACATGAGTTTGAGCAAGCTCTGGAAGTTGATGATGGACAGGGAAGCCTGGTGTGGGGCGGTCCAGGGAGTCACAAAGAGTTGGACACAACTGAACAACTGAACTGAAAAGTCAACTGATTTGGGATCTAATCATGGGAATAATATTCCATGCAACCACACGTTCCTCCTGCACTGAAAGTTAGGGGTTCTCACAAAGGTATAACACTAGGGAGTAGAGAAAAATGGGACCCATGCTAGAATTCTAGGCATCACAATATTTACAACATAATTTGCCCTCAAGTTGATGTCAGAAGACTAGGAAGACATTGCTGGGACTGGGGATATCCCCTTCTTTTCCTCAAAGGAAAGTGGCCTCGTTTGAAATAATCCTAACTCCCCTGCGCCAGCACTTTTCTACCTTTAAAAATACTCCATTCTGCACAGCTCCTCAGATGGCCTTTCTGTTTGTAAGAGGAAATGCTGTCCCATTCATGAATCTTTTCATAAAGTCAATTAGATACTCTAATTTACTCGGTTGGATTTTCTTTTTTTAAAAGCACATATAACTGGAAGGTGCAAAACAGGCTATGTTTGACTCTGGAAAAAAGAATAAAACATTTGGGATAATTTTACCAGCCCCCTGCCCCATTGTAAATTCCAAAGAGGGTGAATAAAGGCTGTGTCTGAATCTCCACTGTTTTCTCATTATCTAGCAAACCCACGCAATCCAATCTGCGTATATTACAAAAGCTCAATACATAATGTTAAATGAGTGACGTTTGTGCATGAAATGGCCCAATGAGAAATTATTTCTACTCCAATTGCTTGATTACAATATTGGGGTGAAACACCACCACCGAACTCGGGCTCTCACTGAGGAGCGATGTGTTCACTTAATTCGGTGAGTCATTTTTTTCTCAGTGCTCTCATACCATAAATGAAATAAATTTCCAAGATTAGCGTTCTCTCTCTATACAACATCTATGGCATCTGCCCGACTGGGCATTTCCTTTTTCTCCCTCCAGTTTCTCTCATTACCCCAGCTCTCTGGAGTCTGCGATAGTCGGCAATTAGGGGTTTCCCCGCAGCTGGCTGCAGTGACTGGGAAAAGCAACTCCACATTCTGTCCTCAAGAACCGAAACCTCCGAGTAGCGGGACTGGGGTGTCACGCACAGTGAAGCACTGGGCAAGTAGCACTCTGCGTCCCGGTTTCTGCCAGCTCACATATCATCATCCGGGCCACGGACCTCCAAACCTTCCCCAACAGCCGGGTCTCCGCTGTACGGCGGCGCCTCAGTCAACATGGCCGCGCCCATGACCCAGACCCAAGGGCGCCGCCATCGCAGCTGCCCGACCCGCAGAGGCCGCCCTCCGGGTGGTCGCCATGTCGGCGACCGCCTGCGCCCAGTTCCCGACAAAGCCAGCGACCGTGGACCGGAGGAGGAGTGCAGGGACAGCCGAAGAGGCCGAGTGTTTTCCGGAGATGGCTGTGTCGGAGCCCGGGGGCAGCGCTGCGGTGAGCGCGATGCCGGGGCGGGGTGGCCTGGTGCTCAGCTGTGTTTTAACCGGGCATCAGTGGCTGGAGGGTTACTGTAGTTTGTGAAATAGGTGATTTGGGAATTGGAGTCGATGCTGATGCGCCTTTTGCAGGGGCGGGAGGGTGATCTTAGCATCCTCAGGGAGTTAAGGAATAGTGCTAGAGGGCTGTCTGCAGTTTAAGGAAATCGCTGCTTGAGGGATCTGCGGGACAGTGGTGGCGGGGAGGGGCCTGCGGCAGTCACCGAAAAGTCGGAGTTTGGAAGGCCGCGGGGATCAGAAATAAGGGCTTTGGGGTGTATCAGAGATTGGGGAGGACTGTGGGGGTCGCAAATGGGAATGTCTATGGGAGGCAGCAATTACAGTGTCTGGGGTTGTTAGAGATGGAATTGTTCCCGTCTGGGTGCAGAGGTGCAGGCAGGTGAGTTAGTAGTTATTGCAGTAGGTAAAGGTAAGAGATGATGATTGGGGTTTACAGGTGAAGTGAAAAATCAGAATTAGAATATGCCTGGAGATGAGCCAGTAGGACTTACTGATGATATGGAACAAGAGGGAAAAGAAGAATCAAAATTTACACCTAGGCTTTTTGGAACTGGTAGATTCCATTTTCTGAGAAAGGGTTGTGTTGGAGAAGACCTGATTTGATGGCTTAAAGGAGAGCCAGGGTGGATAAGCCCTAGTTCTGTTTGAACAGTGGCAGGAAGCCCATTACATACATGTTCAAGTAGAGATGTTAACTAACTGTTAGATATATGAATCTAGAACTTAGGAGAGACTTAGACTGAAGAATCCTCATTTGAAAGGGATCAACGTAAAGATGGCATTTAAAGTCATAAGATTGAATGAAATCATCTAGGAAGAGATGACAGGTAGGGGAGAAAAGAAGGCAAAAACTCAAGAGTTCTGGGTCAGTCTGATGTTTTGAGTTCTGGTGGAGGAGAAGAAGGAGGAGGAGAGGGAGAGGGGAGGAGGAGGAGAAGAATGAGGTAGGCGGTAGGAGGTAACCACTGAGGCAGGAGGAAAACTGTATAAATGTGTTGTCAAAGAAGCATCAGGGTTTTCAAGGCAATGGGAGTACTCAGTCCCCAGAGTATGACTACACAGAATTTGACTTTGGCAAGTTGTAGTTCCGTGGTTATTTTGATTGATTAGCGCTCTTAAAGTGGAATGACAGGGGTAAAATCTGGTGGGAGAGTTAAAGAATGGAAGGTATTTGAAGTAGAGACAGCAAGTATAGACAACTTGAAGAGTTTTAAAGTTTATCCCCTGATAAGGGGAGCAAAGAAATGGATATTGGATGGGACATGAGATTAAGAGAGGATTTTCCTCAGATGAATGAGACAACTGTGTGTGTCGGTGAGGATGACCCAGTAGAAAGGCGTGCTAAGTCACTTCAGTCCTGTCCGACTCTTTGCGACACTATGGACTGTAGCCTGCCAGGCTCCTCTGTCCATGGGAATTCTCCAGGCAAGAATACTGGAGTGGCTTGCCATTTCCTCCAGGGGATCTTCCCGACCCAGGGATCGAACCTAGGCCTCCTCCGTCGCAGGCAAATTCTTTATTGTCTGAGTCACCAAGGAAACCCCCTACTGGGAGAGGACTCTTAGAAATTTGTTCCTGGCTTCCTCTGGGCTTCACGTCATGCTCCTTTTTCCTTAGTTTATTTTGCTTTGAGTTCTTTGCTGTTCTAAATCATAGCTATAAGTACAGCTATATGCTGAGCCCTCTGAGTCCTTCTAATCATTGAACCAGAATGTTAATGGGTTAAAGCCTGGTGATACTCTAAACAAACAAACAATAGGGGTTTTGAAGGATGAATGAAAAACAGTTGAAAGTGTAATTTACTGCATCTTAAGGCTCTAAGATTGGGGTGGAGGTGGGGAAACAACTTTTATTGGGGAACACTGTAAGGGAGCAGCATCCTCAGGTGACAAGTAGGTTTTGGTTGAAGCAAGCAGGCGATGGAACGTCCCTGGTGGTCCAGTGGCTATAACTCCATGCTTCCAATGCAGAGGACCCAGGGTTTGATCTCTGGTCAGGGAACTAGATCCCACATGCTGCAGCTAAGACCTGATGCAGACAAATAAATAAATATTAAATTTTAAAAAGCAAGCAGGTGAAGAAATAGCTAAAAAGGGTGTGTGTAGTGGAGTTTATTGGCAGTGGTTAGGGTTTCTGTAAAGGCCACTGTGTGAGGGTTCTGTTGGTGTCAATGATTGGGGATTGATAGTATTTGGGGGTCATATCTGAGGTGGAGATTATGTTCCACTGGTATCAATAGTTGAGGAACCTGTGACAGTATGTGATCAGAGTGTTTATGAAGGCAAGTAACTGTGGAGATCTGTTGCTGTTAGTAATTGGAAGGTTTGCTGGGATCAGTCATTTAGGAATTAGGAAGGACCATGCTGGCTCAGTGATTGGGAAGCCAGTAACAACTAATGACAGGAGTTATAGGAATCAGTGACTGCAAGTTTGTGAGCTCAGAGATTGGTGACACATGCAGCTAGTTGATCGGTGGTTTATGGCAGTGAGGGTGATCTTTAAGTGTTAAACAGACATGTTTGAATACATATTTATTAGCTTCAAAATTCTACAGTAGCTACCTAATAAGAGGAGAACTTTAACATGCTTTATTTAATTCCTTCTTCCCACCCACAACCAATCTTTTGTCTGCTTATTTTTCTTACATCATACCTTTTGATTTTAGGGATTAAAAATTTTTTTAATTAATTAATTTATTTTGGCTGCACTGGGTCTTCATGGCTGCTTGAAGGCTTTCTCTAGTTACAGTGATCAGGGGCTGCTCTCTCGTTTCAGTGCATGGGCTTCTCACTGAGGTGGCTTTTCTTTTTGCGGAACATGGGCTCTAGGGCATGTGAGTTTCAGTAGTTGGGGCTCTCTGGCTCCAGAGTGTGGGGTTGGTAGTTGGAGCACATGGGCTTAGCTGTCCTGTGGCATGTGGGATCTTACTGGATCAGGGATCAATCCTGTGTCCCCTGCATTGGCAGGCAGATTCTTTACTACCGGACCACCAGGGAAGTCCAAGGAAATTTTTATAACAACTGCACAAAAAAGTTTATCAAGTGACTTGGATGTAACTAGACATTTTACTGGCTTTATTATTCATAGTTCTCTGTTGTATATTATTAAGTCTTTCCCAATCACAAAATTATTCTGATCCAATTTTCCTTCTTTTAAAAATGATTCCTCTTCTCCTCTCTCTCCTCTTCTTACCACATTCCCGATTTCTCCCTCCCTTCTTCTCTTTATTTTTAAAGTTCATGGGTAATATACTTTCCAAATCCTTACATGCCTAAATATCTTTTGCTTCCAAACATAATTGATTTTTTTGACTGCTCATAAAAACCAAGGTCTCAGTTCTTCTACCTCAGAACTCTATATCCATATGTTTAGTTATAAAGATGAAGACTGATTCTAATGTTTGTTTGTTTGTTGTAATTTTCTCTCTGATAATCATATGGTATTTTTCAAAGTACCTGAGACTGAATGGCCTATAAACAGCAGAAGTTGATTTCTGGCAGTTCTGGAGGCTGCATGTCTGAGAGCTCTTTGGGATCTGGTGACGGCCCTCTTCCAGGTTTCAGACGTCTCATTAGATCCTTACTTGGCAGAAAGAGCAGAGAGAGGACGCATGCTCTGTCATAACTCTTATAGGGGCACTATTCCCATTCATGAAAACCCCACTCTCATGACCTCATCTAATTCTATTCTCCCAAAGGCCCTGTCTCCTAATATCATCCCATTGGAGGGCAAGGTTTTCAATCATGAATTGGAGGGACACAAACATTCATTCCGTTATAGGGACATTTCTTAATGTGGTTTTTGTCTCTCAAAAACAAAAATGAATAAAAAAATAACTTTATGATCAACAGTGAATGGACAAGGTAAGAACAAGTCATTATTATCTTGTCCAGATCTCTCACTGATGTGAATAACATTAGACTGAACTAGGAATGTGCTATTTTACAGGGATCGGTAACATTCAATGATGTGACTATGGCTTTTACTAGGAAGGAATGGGAGCAACTAGATCCTGCTCAGAAAAGCCTGTACAAGGATGTGATGCTGGAGAATTACAGCAACCTAGCCTCAATGGGTAAGGACAGTTCCTTTGAATTCAAAATATACTTACTGTGATGCCTTCTCTCTGATGCCCTTGATAAGTTTATCCTCGATTTTTATGAATCAAAGAGTTGTAATCCCTTTGGGTACTAGGCAGAATACGTGTGCTCCTGCCTTGAAAATGGAGGATCTACTCAGATGGGGTACCTGGGCATTGCACTGTGAAATTTCTGAAGCCACATAGTCTTTTATCCTTTACAAGCTCTGAAACTCAGATGTTAGGGATTGATTTCTGGGATATTTGTTGTTCTCACACTCAATGTCTGTCTTTTCTCATGAGTAGGGTATCAGGCTCTCAAACCAGACATGATATCCAAGTTGGAAAAAGGAGAAGAGCCATGGCTAGGGAAGGGGAAGAGACCCAGACAAGGTGGCTCGAGTGAAATAGCAAGAACCAAGGAAACAGGAGCCAATGGAAGTGAGTTCCTAGTTTCTTCATGATAACTTTGGAATTCTTTCTTTCTCCCACGCTTTTATTATTTACTTAAAATATATATATATATCTTTTCTTTCTACTGAAGTATAGTTGATTTACCATGTTGTGTTAGTTTCAGGTGTACACCAAAGCAATTCAGTTATCATATATATATATATGTTTTTTTTTAAAGATTATTTTCCCTTATAGGTTATTATAAATTATTGAGTAAAGTTCCCCGTGCTATATAGCAGGTCCTTGTTGGTTTTCCATATTATATATAGTAGTATATTTCTGTTAATGCCAAATTCCTAAATTATCCACCCCCCTCTCCCCTTTGGTCTGTAGGTCTGTTTATATTTTGTATAGTTCATTTGTATCTTTTTTTTTAGATTCCGCATATAAGCAGTATCAGATGATGTCTGTCTTCCTCTGTCTGGTATACTTCACTTAGTATGATAATTTCCTTAGGTCCATCCATGTTGCCACAAATGGCATTATTTCATTCTTTTCACTGGATGAGTAATATTCTGTTGTATAAATATACCACATCTTCTTTGTCTGTTCATCTGTTGATGGGAATTTAGGTGCTTTCATGTCTTGGCTATTGTAAATAGTGCTGCAGTAAACATTGAGGTGCATGTACCTTTTCTCATTATGTCTTTCTCAAATGTATGCCCAGGAATGGGACTGCAGGATCACATGGTAGTTCTATTTTTAGTTTCTTAAGAAACTTCCATATAGTTTTCCATAATGGCTGTACCAATTTACATTCCCACTAACAGTGTTGGAAGGTTCCTTTTTCTCAACATCCTTTCTAGTATTTGTTATTTGTAGATTTTTTTGATGATGGCTATTCTCACTGGTGTGAGGTGATACCTTGTTGTGGTTTTGATTTGAATTTCTGTAATAATTAGTGGTGTTAAGGATCTTTTCGTATGCCACCTGTGTGTATTTTTTGGAGAAATGTCTATTTAGATCGTCTGTCCTTTTTTTTTGATTGGGTTGTTTGGGTTTTTTTTTATATTGAGCTATATGAGCTATTTGTATATTTTGCAGATTACACCCTTGTCAGTCACGTCATTTGCAAAAAGTTTCTCCCATTCCATAGGTTGTCTTTTTGTTTTACTTATGGTTTCCTTTGCTGTGCAAAAACTTTTAATTTGGTCCCTTTTGTTTATGTTTTTGGTTTTCTTTCCAGTACTCTAGGAGAAAATCTAAAAAGAGATCGCTGCAGTATGTCAAAGAGTGTTCTGCCTGTGTTTTCCTCCAGGAGTTTTATGGTACTTGGTCTTCTTCCCATTTTGAGTTTATTTTTGTATGTGGTGTTTAAGGTGTTCTAAATTCATTCTTTTACATGTATCTGTCCAGTTTCCCCAGCACCACTTATTGAAAAGGCTCTCTTTTCTCCATTGTACATTCTTGTCTCCTTTGTCATATATTAATTAACCATACGTGCCTGGGTTTGGCACCTTCTTGATTTCTTCTTCAAAGAAAATTTATTCTGAAATTCTTCTTAAAGGTCCTAGACCCTTCTTTCTTAACCCGGCAGTAGCAGTAGAAGAATATAAAAATCTCCCAAGGGAATAGGAGTTCAAACTACAAAGATTCTCTAACCTTGGAGATTCTAATATCTCTTCCTTCTGTGACCCTGTCCACATGGGAGGTCCTCGTATGAGATTCATTATAGTTGTGAGCCAGTGTGATTTATGGGAATTTGCTTATACCACTTGTATCAGTCAACTTAGGCTAAGTTATGCCTCATTAAAGAAAGACCCCCCCCCCTCCACCTCCCCAAATCTTAGTGGCCTACAAAAAGAAAGATTTGTTTCTTGCTCAAGCTGCAGTCCTTTCCCACATTATCTTGTGACCTACACTGAAAGTGCAGTCCCTATTTGGCAAATTCTGATCTCATTACAGAGGGAAAGAAGAAGGAATGGAACCATATGATGAGTTAAAAATCACTGGATGTGGTAGATAGCTCTTTCTTCTTAATATTTTATTGGTTCTTTAGTTGAAGCAGGTCACCTTTCCACTCCCAAATTCAGCTGGGTAGGAATGGGAGGATCACATGGTCACGCAGTGGGGTTGGGGGAGTAATCCACAGGGAACACTAATGCAGTCTGCTACACTACCTGGGTGATGTTAGGAAAAATGGTGAAAAACGGAGCTCTAAACCTTGGGTACCAATCAGATGCCTAACTGACCCATCCATATATAGCATCCTTCCTCATCTAGGCTTCCCATTGCTCAGTTTTGAGAAAGGGCAGTGAACCCTTTGAACTGTTTTCTTAGCTAATCCCATTCCTGCTTACTCTTGCGACCCCATGGACTGCAGCCCGCTAGAATCCTCTGTCCATGGGATTCTCCAGACAAGAATACTGGAGTAGGTTGCCATTTCCTTCTCCAGGGCATCTTCCTGACCCAGGAATTGAAACCAAATCTCCTGCATTGCAGGCAGATTCTTTACTGACTGAGCTATGAGGGGAGCCTTTACCTCTCTAAAGCAATGCTTTTTAAAATTATCCCCCTTTTCCTAATATCCTCAGCTTTTCTCCCTTTGTTCACCCACACTCTGAGACCCCATAGTATCAAATTTCTCTCCTTAGGTATTCAGACATTCTTAAATCTGTCTTCTTTCCAAATCTCTTGGTGTGATGCTCCTGCCCCTCATTACTTTCCATTTCCCCACATTCTCTGTGAAATGCTCTAGACCCATGGTCTATACCACCATCATTATTTCCATTTCCTCCCTAACCCTTGCAGTTCTCAAATTCAATTCAGTTGCTCAGTCATGTCCGACTCTTTGCAACCCCATGGACTGCAGCACACCAGGCCTCCCTGCCCATCACCAACTCCCAGAGCTTACTCAAACTCATGTCCATCGAGTTGGTGATGCCATCCAACCATCTCACGTTCTGTCATCCCCTTCTCCTCCTGCCTTCAGTCTTTCCCAGCTCATCAGGGTTTTTTTCAAATGAGTCAGTTCTTCCCATCAGGTGGCCAAAGTTTTGGAGTTTCAGCTTCAGCATCAGTCCTTCCAATGAATATTCAGGACTGATCTCCTTTAGGATGGACTGGTTGGATCTCCTTGCAGTCCAAGGGACTCTCAAGAGTCTTCTCCAACACCACAGTTCAAAAGCATCAATTCTTCAGTGCTCAGCTTTCTTTATCGTCCAACTCTCACATCCATACATGACTACTAGGAAAACCACAGCTTTGACTAGCAAAAGACATAGCTTTTGCCTTTGTTGGCAAAGTAATGTTTCTGCTTTTCAATAAGCTGTCTAGGTTGTTCATAACTTTTCTTCCAAGGAGCAAACGTCTTTTAATTTCATGGCCGCAGTCACCATCTGTGGTGATTTTGGAACCCAAAGAAATAAAGTCTGTCACTATTTCAGGAAAAAGTAAATAGTCATTTTAGTAGTGAAAGAACATTACATGGATAAAGTAAAAACTGGGTTCAAACAGAAAGGAGTTATGGTGTTTGAATATATTGCTGGGAAATACATTGCTTTTATGGAGAACTTTTAAGAGATTATTTTTATGGAGAACTTTTGAGAGATTTGTTCCCATAGAGTAGATCAGTTTTTATAAGTATGTATAAAGTAGTGGTATAGATACAGTAGGAAGAACTGGAGTTGCCAGCTGCTTTTTCATTTAGGAAATTTTGAGTGATGCAAGCATCCTGAGAGAAAGAGTATAACAAGAACTTTTCTGTAGCATGACAAAGGCTGTATCTTCCAATGCCCAAAGATGCTGGGAGAGATGGAGGCAAATCGCCTTCTGGGAAGAAAGGGATCAAAACTCAAACCTTTCCTCTTGAGGTGTAATATTATAAGAACCTCTTATAATGATGATTTGGCTGGGCCCAATTGACAATTGGAAAAGATATCTATCACAAGAGAAATTTACCATGAGGGAGAAGAGGAGACTCTTAACTAGTTATCTGGTATAATGGTAGGATAATACTAGAGGACTCTGGTCTGACAGAGTATGTAATTAAGGCTATAAGCCTGTCCTGAATTTGAGACAGTAATTAAGACATAAATTTTAAGCTAAAATGACTTAAAACTTCAGAAACCAAAGCATGAAACTCACTAGAACCAGCAATCATTGCAGGGAATAAAAAATAGTCCTTCTTTGAAGAACCTCCGAGGATAATAGTAAGAACTTGAACCAAGAATAGAGTCACTGTAGCAATGACAAAAGTGCACATATTAAATGACTTAGGAATATTTTTAGTTGTAACACCAAGCATCAGCAAGAAAAGTGAAGATAGCCCAAACAGGAGCCATGAATGGATGAATCAAAAACTATGAATTGTCTTCATTTTTCATTTGACACACTGGTCCCTCTGGCCTTGAGAAATTCATGGAATCTTGAAAATTCAGAGTTAGAAGAAACTTAAAAAGATATTGTAGATATTCTGCTAATTTGGGGGCTATTCAGTTCAGTTCAGTTGCTCAGTTGTGTCTGACTCTTTGTGACCCCATGGAATGCAAATCATGGGGACTCTTATATCTGTTTTTTTTTTTTTCCTGAAATCTTGGAGACTCTTATATCTGTTTCTCCTTTTGAGTCTCTTTAATTCCTATCCTGAAGCTTTTTCTGTTTTTCCATGTCCATAGTTGATAAAGGCCACCCCCAAAATGGTGGTCCTAGCCCCTAAGTTGTTTGGTTTTTACGTATGGAATGTCCATATCTAGCTAACAGAAGTCTTCAAGCTTCAATTCTAAGTTCTTAGGAAAATTGCTGGATAGCTAGGATTGATGTTTACTGTTGTCCAATCAGTTGCTTGCAACCAGAAGTTGGATCATATACTAAAAATGTGGCTGCTTACATCCGTCAGTTTGAGTTTGATCTCAGAGAACAGAAGCCTGGGTTGAGAAGATAGCTCAAAATGTACACTTGTGTAGTGTATGGAGGAAAGAATGTGAGGAATTACTTAGAGTTGGGAATTAGCTTAAAATTTATAATTGGCAATTAGAGTGACAGGAAGGTATGCTCCACAGCAAACTATTGGAAAACAAGTATTTGTGTACACTGCAAATCCAGTGTCATAAAGTTTATTTGCCAATCTCATTACTGTGAATTTTATAATATGGTAAAATCATCAGGTAAGTCAGAGAAGGAGCTTCCCCAATGGCTTAGTGGTAAAGAATCTGCCTGCAATGCAGGAAATGCAGTTGACACGGGTTCAGTCCCTGGGTTGGGAAGAACTCCTGGAGGAGGGAATGGCAACCCAGTCCAGTACTCTTGTCTGGAGAATCCCATGGACAGAGGAGCCTGGTGGGCTACAGTCCATAGGGTTGCAAAGAGTCAGACACTCTTTAACGTAAGAGTCAGATGTGTTTTAGCACAGGAATGTCATTATTATATTAATCATAGGTGGGAGCAGTAGAATATCCTTTTCTACTTAATCCCTCAGTCACCTATATTCAGTACTCTTTGATGAGCTTACTTATTTTCTCTTATTTTGGCTCTTTGGGGAGCAATAACAAAATTTTACTTGTGCTATTCTAAGTAAATGGAGGAATTTATTATAAGGCCTTTTGTAACCTAAGGGATGGTACTTCAGCCAGGGACTAGAGCCAGTACTAGAAAGCCATTAGGAATTGGGATTATGTAAATGATCTCTTTGAGGACACATCTTACATCTCTGCTTTTCTGTGGATATATGCTTTATTCCTTGTGCTGATGAACCCAGAAAGATATGGGTTTATAATACTTGTCTTATATCATTTTAAAATTTAGCACCCAGTGGAAACTGACTAGAGTCCAAATTTTTACAAGGTATACTTTTATTGGACATCTTGGCTTGAGCCTGCTGTCCCTGACTGTGACTATGGAGATTTGGATGAATATAGTATAGGCTGTTGGAAACAAGCTCTATGCATGGATTTGCAGTTATTAATTCTGGGAAGTTTGGGCTGAGGAGAGACTTCAAAAAGTATCAGCTAAAATTACAAGCTCTTTTAGCTTCATCTCTTTTTTTTTTTTATTTGCTGCTTTTTGTGTTTATTTCATCTTTTATCCCAGGTTGCAAGGTCATGTTTATAAACAGTCAAAGTTTTTTCTAATCACTATTGTCAATTTTCTTTTTCTGTCTTTACTACAGCACTTTCCCCCTCAAGTCCAAAATGACAGGAATATTTGCACTTGATATTTCATTCACTTTAGGAAAATTTGTTGTTGTTGTTCAGTTACTAAGTCGTGTCTGACTCTTTGTTACCCCATGGATTGCAGCATGCCAGACTTCTCTGTCCTTCACTATCTCCTTCACTATCTCACTTGATCAAACTCATGTCCATTGATTCGGTGATGCTATCCAGCCATCTCATTTTCTGTCATCCCCTTCTCCTGCCCTCAATCTTTCCAGGATCAGGGTCTTTTCCAAGACCTTTAGGATACTAGGTTCAAATAAAGATTCAACCCCACAACAGGGCATTTCTTTATAAGTTGTATCCCAAAATATGAGAGCACAAAGATTCACAAAAGTGTCTCATTGAATTTCACTTTAGAAGAAGTCCATCAAGATGATGACTGGCTAAAGAACCACCAGAAATCTCAAAACAAAATCCTTAGGGAAGTTGCATTCAAGAGAACAACTCTGACTAAGAAAAAGAGCCATGAATGTAGTTCATTGCGGAAAAAAAATGTGAGTACAAAGTATATTCCTTCAAAAAAAAAGCTTCTTAAATTTGATTCACATGGAAAGAATTTAGACTTATCTGATGACATAAGAAACTGTGCCAAAAAGAAATCTGATATAGCTAAAGAGCATAGGAAATCATTCAGCCATAGCTTATCTGATACAAAGAAAGACAAAAATCAAACTGGAAAAAAATGTGAGAAATCATCTACCTATAGCTCATCTAATGGGCCTGACAAAACTCAAACTGGCAAGAAATATGCTGAACAGGACAAAATTCAAACTGGAGAAGAACATGAGAAATCATCCAGCCATTGCTCATCCCTTACTAAGCATGAAAAAACTCAGAATAAAGTGAAGCCGTATGAATGTAATCAATGTGGGAAGGTTCTCAGCCATAAACAAGGACTTGTTGACCATCAGAGAATTCATACAGGGGAAAAACCCTATGAATGTAATGAATGTGGCATAGCCTTTAGCCAAAAATCACACCTTGTTGTACACCAGAGAACTCATACTGGAGAAAAACCCTATGAGTGTGTTCAGTGTGGCAAAGCCCATGGTCATAAACACGCTCTCACTGACCATCTGAGAGTTCATACTGGGGAAAAGCCCTATGAATGTACCGAATGTGGGAAAACCTTCAGACATAGCTCAAACCTTATGCAACATGTGAGATCTCATACAGGCGAGAAGCCCTATGAATGTAAGGAATGTGGGAAGTCTTTTAGGTATAACTCATCTCTTACTGAACATGTGAGAACACATACAGGTGAAATACCATATGAATGTAATGAATGTGGAAAAGCCTTTAAGTATAGTTCATCCCTTACTAAACACATGAGAATTCATACAGGTGAGAAACCGTTTGAATGTAATGAATGTGGGAAAGCTTTCAGCAAGAAGTCACACCTCATTATACATCAAAGAACTCATACTAAAGAGAAACCCTATAAATGTAATGAATGTGGAAAAGCCTTTGGACATAGCTCATGTCTTACTTACCATATGAGAACTCACACAGGTGAAAGTCCATTTGAATGCAGTCAGTGTGGGAAGGCCTTCAAACAAATTGAAGGTCTTACTCAACATCAGAGAGTTCATACTGGGGAGAAACCCTATGAATGTAATGAATGTGGGAAAGCTTTTAGCCAAAAGTCACACCTCATTGTACATCAGAGAACTCATACAGGGGAGAAACCCTATGAATGTAATGAATGTGGAAAAGCCTTCAATGCAAAGTCACAACTTGTAATACATCAGAGATCCCACACTGGAGAGAAACCTTATGAATGTAATGAATGTGGAAAAGCCTTCAAACAAAATGCATCCCTTACCAAACATATGAAAACTCATTCAGAAGGGAAATCTCATGAGTGAAATTAGTGTGGGAAATCTGAACAAAAGGTTTAATTTAAACTTACAAGTATTCTGAACTTAAAGGATGTTAGAAAGCCTTTAATAAGAAGTCACACCTTGTTACACATGAGAGAATTTGAAAATGAATGTTCCCATAGAAGAAATGGATGGAGAGTTTAAATTTGATACTAAACCTCTTATATAAAATATTATTATAAATGATCTATATATTCAGACTGAAATATAAAGCTTTTAAAATTGTTAATAAATTAAATGATCAGTACACTAGGGAACCAGATTACATATTCTGACGATTCCTGAGTGGCTTGAGTGTTGTGTCCTTAAGCACCATATATGAGAATTAAGTTTGCATATCTGTTTAGTGCTATGTATAAACGTCTGTGACTGTTGGTATACGCTTCATCTTTGATGCTATCACACAGGTCTTTGTATCATCAGAAAACTTTATAAGAGGATTATTATTTATATAAAAATGTTAACGCAAAATTAAGAGAAAATGAAAGAAATCAGCTGAGGACACCCAGGTGCCAACAGGGAATGCTATCAAAGATACATTGTTGAGTGAAAAAAGCAGGTTGCTCAACTATGTATATAGTTTGTTCCCATGTATGTACAGAAGGGTGTGTGTGTTTGCATGTCTGTCTGTGTGTATGTATGTATTAATATTTTGTATACATGTATTTATCTGTGTGTGTGTATGTATGTGTGTATGTGTATATACATATTTTTTATGTAAATAGATTGGTTTGAAAAAATACAGGAGAAACTTAGGGGTTGCTTTTGGGCACAGGCATACAGGAATGAGGTCTGGGATGGGAGAGAGACCTCCTTTTTATTGTGTACTGCTTAAATTTTAAAATCATGTACATATATTATTTTCACAATTAAAATCCTTTTAATATGTATAAATCAACACTAATGAAAATTTTCACTGAACCCACTCTATGATGTGATTTGACTAAGTAAAAGTTTCTAGGCTTATTCATAAATGAGGATAAGGTATTAAATTTGATATTGAATTCACAAAGGCTTTTCTTATCAAACATATTATTTCATTAAAATAATGAATTGCAACTATTACTTGGAGCTGTTTCTTTTATTTACTTTAATTTTAAAGACTGAAGATGAACTGTGATTGCAGCTGAATAAAAGGGATTTTCTGAGCAATCATTCCACTTTATCTCATATTCAAAATGCTTTTACACAAATACCTCAATCTGGGATTTCAAATGTACTGCGAAAAATGGCACTACTTCCTGTTCTTGCCCAATAGCAGACCTTGTGAATGGATCCATGCACTCTTTCTGAGTGAATCTAGACTTGGCCTCAGAATACTCTCAAGCATGCATTCCAGAAGGTACTGTTAATCAGTTTGGGTTTGCACAGGAAACCTGTTTTCCTATTTTTCCTCATGAGTTATAGATTAAAAAATACAGCTGAACTGTTCTAAAATGTAAGTTGTTACACTAAAAAAACTAACATAAGGACAAAAAATGATTTTGTAATATAAGATAATAATATTTGATATATATGTCATCTTTTACATTTTTCATAGCACATTCACTACATTACCTGATTTGTTCCTCAGAATAAACATGAGTTGGTAAGAAAGACTTCTCTAGTCATGGTCGATACTTCTCAATAAATATTTCAAGTAAGTAGGTACTGTTCTAGCATAATTATAGACCCTTAATAATATGTGGTTAAAGGCTATCTTTGCAAATATTTCCTGTCCCAGCGGCTGCCTTACTGACCTCATTATTTTTTTGAGAATTAAAAGGTATAAATATTTAAAATAGAACTTGTGTCTGTGTGTGTACATGTGCACATGCATGTATTGAAAGATCAACTCATGAATATTATGCATTCATTACCAAGTAACTTATTTACTCTGAGGTGAAGAAAATGAAATCTGAAAGTCATTTACATGAGTAATTTATTACCAAATGAAAATCTGGCACAATACACAGAATGAATTAATTACTGTCTAGAGCTGTAAAAAAATCTCACTTTTTAGAAGAATAAAGCAGTTGCATGTATGACGAGATTAACTTTCCTACATCTCTTGGAGAACCTACAATCATGCCACACATGGGTTGGTCAAGAGTATAGTGTGCCTGAATCTTAAAAATGAATGCTGAAAGTCATCCTGTGCAGTAAAAAATGAATTAAAACTTAGCATCAGTGAATGAGGAAATAGTTTGAAAATGACTGGAGGCAAACAGTGATGTGAGTCTCAACAGTAAGTGTGTGAGACTCACACAGATGTGAGTCCAAATCAATGATACAGTTGGTTGGGCATGCATCACAATGGCCTAGAAGGCTTGTAACTAGAAAGACTTTAGAAACAGGCCCCACCCACAAAATTTCTGACTCAGTAGGTTTGTGATCTGGCCTGAGAATTTGCGTTTTAAATAAGTTTACAGAAGATGCTGATGCTGTTGGTCTGGGGACCACACTTTGAGAATCACTAATCTGAATAATTGTTTAAGTAAAATTTTAAAATATTTTTAAATGTTCCTGAAATATTTCTTCAATATAAAGAAGAGGAAGGGCATACGTCCATTGAGTTAGTTATTATATTAACAGTTTTAAAACATTTATTTCTTCATGAACTTTTGATCATGTATGTATTATAAGCTGGGCACTGTTATAAATCTTAGGATTTATAATCTTAGCAGTCAACAAAAAAAGATGGAAAGAAATCTTGTCCTCAGAGAGCTTAATTCTAGAGTGGGAGACAGGCAGTAAATCTAAATATAGTTGCCCCACAGGGGATTGGTTCCAGGACCAGCCACAGTTACCGAAATCTGAGAATGCTTAAGTCCTATAGTTGGCCCTCCAAATCCTCCATATCCAAGAACTCAACCAACAATGGATTGTGAAGTACTGTGTATATTTATTGAAAAATATCCATGTATAATTGGACCCACACAGTTCAAACTGTAAGCAAAATATAGAATATGACAGAGGGTGACAAGTGGTATGCAAAGGACAAAACAGAGAAGGGGAATGCAGTTGTAAGAGAATGCAATTTAAAATTTGATGGTAGTGGTGATGGAGTAAGCTCAATCTCACTTAGTGGTGACACAGTCTTGAAGAGAGCAGAAGCGAGTCATATATATGATGAAAGACCTTTCCAGACATACATCTTTTAGAATCTGAAGGTGTGGAAAGAGAAAGATGCTGAACATACTAAAGAGGAAAAAGTAAGAAAATTTTCTATTAAATCAAAAATTTTAAATAATCAGGTTTGCAAGAGAGGTAGAAAGCAAGATCTCTCTCTCTCTCTTTTTATGGGAGAGCACACAGGCAGTTTATTTATTTAAGCCAGAATCAAGATAGAAATACATACTCTGAGAAAAAAGGTATGGGCATCCTCTCTGGTGAGGAGGAGCATAGTAAAGAGATGATTTTCATTTTTATTTTGTTTTTTTAAAGGATTTCATTTTCCCAGTTAGACATTTGAAAAAAAAAAATCTTTTTTTTTTTTTTTGGCTGAGACACATGGTTTGCAAAAAAACCAAGAAAAATCTCTCATACACTGCTTTTCATAGTCAAGTTTGTACAACCTTTTTAAATGTAAATCTGACAGTATACCCTGCACTCCTACTTCCAAGAATCTGTTCTATGATACACAGTTAAGGTGCACTATAATGATCACAGAACACAGAGAAGTTGGATAAAGCAGTTAATTGCCAATTAATGATTAAATAAAGTATGATACCCTCCTAAGATAGAATTTAATGTGGCAGAGGAAGATAATTTGAGAGAAATCACACAGTTTTTTTTTTCCTAAACATGAAAAACCACAAGACTGAGTTTATAGCAACCACTGCTGCTGCTGCTAAGTCGCTTCACTCGTGTCCGACTCTGTGTGACCCCATAGGCAGCCCACCAGGCTCCCCGGTCCCTGGGATTCTCCAGGCAAGAACACTGGAGTGAGTTGCCATTTCCTTCTTCTGTGTATGAAAGTGAAAAGTGAGTGAAGTCGCTCAGTCACGTCCGACTCTTCGAGACCCCATGGACTGCAGCTACCAGGCTCCTCCGTCCATGGGGTTTTCCAGGCAAGAGCACTGGAGTGGGTGCCATTGCCTTCTCCGATAGCAACCACAGCTATGGAAAATAAAGGGAGAATCCCAGAAAAGAGACACGAAGAGGGGGGACCTCAAATTATGTGAATAAACTGCCCTAGTCTCAGCTGACCTCTGAACCATGCATGTATGGCACAACTACTATCTTTTTGTCTTTTGAACTGAGCTTTCTTTTGTGCTGCTACTGCAGAGACAGAGTTTAAAGTTTGAGTTCAACAATGTTAATTACTTGATAAAACAAAAACATTAACACTCCTCCAAGAAATATACAGAATCCTGAATTACCATGATTTATCACTCACAACAGGGGCTTCCCTGGTGGCTCAGAGGTTAAAGCGTCTGCCTGCAATGCAGGAGACCCGGGTTTGATCCCTGAGTCGGGAAGATCCCCTGGAGAAGGAAATGGCAACCCACTCCAATATTCTTGCCTGGAGAATCCCAAGGACGGAGAAGCCTGGTAGGCTACAGTCCATGGGGTCGCAAAGAATCGGACACGACTGAGCTTTTTCACTTTTACTTTCTTTCATCACTCACAATATCTAGAATACAAGAAAATTCAGATTAGGCAAATGTGACCCCATTTCAAGAAAATAGACAACCAACCCAGAAATTGGAATAGCAAATGAGGATAGATATCTAATAATATAGATATTATAACTATGCTTAATGAAATAAAATATGCTCCAAATGAATAAAGATTTTTTAACTCAGGGAAGAAATGGAAACTAAAGTAAAACCAAAATAAAATTCTGGAACTGAAAACACAATGGCTGAAATTTAAAATTCACAAGATAAATGTACCAAATGTAATTACAGGGAAAAGAGTCTTGACTTGAAATAGATCAGTAGAAATGATCAAACAAGTGAGAGAAAAATGATGACAAGACATTAACCTGTGACCT